TATCTGCAATTTAGATAAATAAGAAAAACTTGTGCAAATATAATTTTATTGAATTAAAATAAATATTGCCGGTGACAACTTTAATTTAATCATCTGATTCTTCTTTAAAAAACAACAATATATGTTCACTTTGAAGGGTCGTTGACTTGGTCTTCTCCGAATTTGATTTTGAACTTGAATAACGTTTTCTGAGGGTCTTATGACTTGAATATCGGATAACGTTTTCTGAGGCGGTCTTATGACTTGAATATCGGATCAAACGTTAAACTTTGACGAGTTTTTTAATGTTAAACTTACAGAGAAATTTTCTACTACTAGAATTCTTGATGTTGTAGAAAGAATATTCTCCTCTGATTTTTCTCCTTACCATCTTTTTGATGACGTGGACCTAATTTGATTGACCTCTATTAATTTGATATTTATATCTTATAACTTAAAAAAGAAAAAAAAAATTCTTATTGGCTAATAATTTATTGACGTTTATCTACATAACTTGTCTTGTAAGATAACCCATAAATTAAATTAGACACAATTTAATTAACTAATTTAATTTACCGATTTAATAAATTTTAGCCGTCTCCCCTTGCCATTATCGAAGAGACTATTTCCAATTTTTGCGTGTGTGAGAGAGAGAGAGGGGGGGAGGGGGAGTTTGGTTGAATGCTTTGGGTGGAAAAATCAGCGAGGCAATGCGAGAATTGGGAGACGTGTATGAACCGGAGGAGGAGACCTTAAAGGCTCCCGAACGTGAGTGGTGCTGTGGCTCTTTGCGGCAGCGCGTGAGCAAGGATGAAGAAAGACTCCAATGTTATTCCAAGCATGCCCGTAGTCCCCGTATTCCAAGCACATCAAGTTGTCCATTTCGCTCGGATATCATCAAGGGCTGTCGCAGTACGCCTTCAACTTGTCCAACCCATTTTCAGATTATTCCGACGACGACGACGATTATGTTCAATTAAGCATTTATTTCGACGAAAACAAGTCAAAAGTTGTCGGATTATCGGACCAAGTCAGCAAAATCACCACTATGTTAAAAGATTGGAAGTTATCTCAACACCTTTTCGTCTCAATCTTGGGGATGACAGGCATCGGTAAGACTACTCTCGCTAAAGAAATTTTCGAACATCCGTTAATTTCAAGGCGGTTTCACCGACGTGTGTGGGTCAACGTATGCCCAAATTATCCGTCAAGGAACATCTTGCAAGACATTCTAGCTCAATTGGATCCTGACATTGACAAAATACACGACTTATTTGAGCATTTATCCAAGTTTATGCGTTCCAATAGATGCCTCGTTGTGTTGGATGGTGTTTGGGACACGGATGTTATTGAATACTTGCCAATCTTTTCTCGACGCAAGTTCAAGAGTGGAAGTGCATTTTTGGTGACAACTACTCTAGAACAAGTAGGTGTGTTTCCTCTGAGTTCACCAAATGCACCTCCTCAATGATGAAGATAGTTGGTCTCTTCTTCGCCGCAAGGTGTTCGATGACATGCATTGCCCTCCTCAACTTGTGAAGGCCGGAAAGAAGATTGCCAAGATATGCGAAAGTCTTCCTCTCACAATCGTGACTGTTGCTGATATCATGTCCGGAGTTGGCAACACAACAATAGATTACTGGAACGAGGTAGCGGAGAAACAAAATTCAGTTTTCATGGATGCCTACAATAAAATGTCACAGGTACTATCTCCAAACTATGACTATTTACCTCAGCATTTGAAATCACCTTTTCTCTACTTCGGAGTTTTCCCATAAACAAAAGTGATCCCCTACTCCACGCTCATCAATTTGTGGAATGCCGAGCGATTTCTCGAACGAAATCTGTTTGAATCTACTTCACATGATCTTGCTGCCGGGTGTTTGTCGAATCTTATTTCGAGAAGTGTCGTTATGGTTCACCAGCAGAGCACAAGTAATGGAATTAAAAATTGTCGACTCCATTCTATATTTTGGCCTATGTGCGTCACAGAAGCTAGAAAGAACAAGTTTTTCCATGTCATAAGACATTACATTGATATTTTAGCAGAAGTAGAAATTCAGCCTCGATTGTGCATCCACAATAACATTTTGTTTGGCATAAACGGTTTGAATAACTTAATGGCATCCCATTCAAATTTATCTTCTCTCTTATGTACCGGTCCTTATCATCAATATCCAGTACCAATATGTTTGGATCATTCGAAGTTGCTCAGAGTACTTGAGGCTCTTACAATCCGTTTCTACTTATTTCCAATCGATGTCCTAAAACTAGTTGAGCTAAGGTACCTTGCCCTCACTTATAATGGAAATCTCCTTTCTTCCATATCCAAACTTTTGAACCTTGAGTGCTTGATTGTCGGTCGACCTTTTTCCATCAAGCCCGCCGCAAAACCACTGTGTCTGCCTGTAGAGATATGGGATATGAAGAAATTGAAACATCTTCATATCATGGGAAGCCAGCTACCCGATCCTTGTGAAGGATCTTTCTTACCAGACCTCTTAACACTTTCAGACATAAATGCTCATAGTTGTACTAAGAACATTTTTGAACGCATCCCTAACCTAACTAAACTAGGAATACAAATTGAATTACCGCCCAATGCAGTTGAACCGCTTGTCTCAAGTTGCTTCGATCATATTTCACATCTCAATAAACTAGAATCACTTAAATGCGTTATTGTGAATCCTATATTCAAGAACCCTCCCCTTCTTTCAGTTTTCCCATTAGGTCTTAAGAAGTTAAGTCTAACCATGGGAAGAAATGAGTAAGATTGCTTTGTTGCCTAATCTTCGAGTCCTGAAATTGCGATGCTATGCCTTTCGAGGCCCAGAGTGGGAAGTGGAAGACAACAGATTCTTGCGACTCGAGCTTCTTCTGATTGAAGATAGTGACTTAGTGCAATGGACAGCCGCAAGGAGAAGCTTCCCGTTTCTTAATTGCCTAAGCGTTAAACACTGCTACAAATTAAAAGTCATGCCCCGGAAATTTGCTATCGATCTTGGAAAAATTGAGGTGGTTGACTGCAGTCCTTCGGTTGTGAACTGGGCAAAGAATTTAACAAAGATTGATGTTAGTGTCCAATCTTCGTGGGATGATAAGACCCTCAATAAATGACTATAAACACCTATTCAAGTGGTTGAACTCAATACTTCGATTATGATCTGGGCAAAGAATTTAGTGTTGGGATGTTAAGCCCAGGATTCAATGAAAATTCGCAAGAGGTTCTAGATTAGCCGATTTTAATTTTATTAACATGCTTTGATTAGATTCGTTTAAAGCGGAATAAATCTAATCTAGCAACTTACAGTTTACGCGAGCAGATTCGTTTCTATCTTCGGCGCACGAACGAGGATCCACGTCAAGCCTTCAACCTTCGTAAAAGCTGTTGTGAAACCCTTCAGACAGATTGTAGATCTAAGGGTCAGGAAGCTACTGTATAAATTTCGAGCCTATCCGACTAACGGTTGATTTATGGTGATTTTTTCGCAGGACTGCTCAGAAAATTCGGGAATTATAGTTTGCTCTAAAAACCTATAGACTTCTATTGTATATCCCGGATTAATAATTCTTCTACAAGGGTGGACTTCTACTTAGGAAATCTAAATCTATAATTGAGAAACTTAGAGAGAAAAGAAGAAGAGAAAAATATTCTCATCTCCGGAACGTGAATAGGCGTGTAGGAATTAATTAAACTCTCATCAACCTAATCTCTATTATATATAGCACAAGGAATTAGAGTGACACATAGAGAGAATTACATGGAAACAAATCTCACTGCTTCTATAACTCTATATAGTCGAAAATTGTAATCCAATGGGACTTAATTTTCGGCTTTATTAATTCCAATATATAATATTAGTTGAACTTTATTTTCTCGATTAATTAGAAAATCCATTGGGCTACAATAGGGACTAAATGAGAAAATATAAATCGAACAACTAATAATTAATTAAATCCAAACTCTTAAAAGAATTCATTTAATTAGTCATTAAATAATTATTTATTTTCCACTACCAAATAATTATTGAATTCCCGTTTATATTCTCAAATATTACATTCGAGCTCCGATCGATCATTACTTAGATTCTCCCCACATTAAGATATCTTATAACCACCAAATAATTTATTCACTGCTCAATAAATTAAATGGTTTCTTTTCATGAGTCTTGCCCGCTTAACTTATTTGAGTATGCCGGATACGAAATCCACCTGGCCAGGACTTGGCATAAACAAATCTTATAAGCTACTCAAGGGTTATTATCAATCTCATATTTCAGAGATGTGGATTCCTTTCGATAATTAATTTCCACCTATTAATTCTTAATGTCTCTACCCAATGCACCGGGAACAATTTGACTCAATATAGGAATCTCTCCCATTGTGACATCAAAGTAGAGATCATCAATTAAATATATACGTTAATTATCTAGGGATTAAGAGAGTAAGTAATTTACTGTCAACTAGAAATAATACAGTTTCATTTTGAACAGTGATGAAACAATTATTTCACTTTGTCCGGTTCAACACATGCCGGGTGTGCTAGCACAATAAGTCAAAACAATAACTACAAAAGTTATTCGTTGTTTACTGTGATCAAGACCAATCACTTAAATATTGTGCTAAAATCTTTTACCAATGGTTAGTCCATTTCCATCTAGATTGTGAACGTTTATCTTTATGTTCTAAACGAACTTTCGAAATGATCTTTATGTGCGCCGTAGCACACCATCTCGAATACTATTAGAATATTAGACTTATGTTTTTAATTAATTGACAACCAATCAATTAAATGCATTGAATACCCTAGTGCAGATTCTCATAAAATGATAATAAACTATTTTATTAATTCAATAATAAAATTATGTAGCTAAAAGCGAGACTTTTAGTCTACTATCCTAACATTTAACATTTAGAGACGTGTTCTCCAGTGGCATTCGTGTCTAATGCTTCATGTGATGAATGAAACAGTAAGAGTGGCTGTGTGTGTGTTGTTTCTCTATATGACTGTATCCCTTCCAAACTTAAATAAAGTTGGCTCCTTTATGTATTTCATCAAGAATATTCATGTTTGACATATATTTGTAATCTACAAATTCATACACTATTTTCATGTCCAACATTTTGTTGTTCACAATTCCGTAGCGGTCTGCATAAGTTGCGATTTACAACATAAAATCCAACAGTCTTGCACAATATATATAATTGTCTAGCGTCGAGCACACATTTTTAATAGGGACTTAAAAAGAAAGCACCGGCAATAAATAAATTGGCACAATGCGTAATCGGACTAGGACTTCGGAATGTCTGATAGATTTATCAAACAACAGCCTGGCTTTGCTCCACGATTTCCCTGACTCTGCGATTGTATTCTCGTTTGTTTTCACTGAACAATCGAGCAGCTTCAGAGTTCACTGGAGAATCAGGATTCGCATCGCACAACAGTGACTGCAAATTAAATTAAATGAAAGAAATTCATGTATTCTCCAGATAGTATATCAGGTGTGTATTTACATTGGTTACCCAGCAAATATATTCATTATTCGCATTTCTACCCTACTTGTGCTTCAAATACCCAAATTGGATTTAATTTCTTCAATTTAAAACTCATAAATGTTAAAGTTCTACACTAGAAACCTTGCTTTAGTGGATTAAATTTATTAATGAATTCAAGTTATATGCATGGATGTCTAATATTCTGTTAATTGCTAATTTTATTACCAATCTAAAGCAATACAAACGTCAGTCCACCCAGTGGGGAAGACAGTGTAGGGCCAGACGGGGCCATGCCCCCACCCCCCTCAATTTTTTTCTTTTTTTTACTATATAATTTATTGCATTCGTATTGCGCTCCTATAATTTTTTACAATTTAGTTTTTATATAAAAAGTAAAATTGAGTACTTGTAATTGAAGAAAACATAGAAAAATAGTAAATTAGTTTACTCAAGTCCATCCTTAATTGGAAAAAAAAAATCATTAGATTATATCTATATATTTATTTAGTCCACCCAATTTTTATTATTTAATCCATCCAAAGTCTCATTAATGCAAAAAAAGTCCTAAAAGATTTTCTTTTCCTATCTTCTGGTTTTGTCAAAAAAAGAAAATCCTAAACTTTTTCCGGGGCCGCTGCCCCCGAACCCCCAACATTTGATTATTTTCGTGTACATTCGGCCCCCTATTTATAAAATCCTGGGTTAGTCACTGAGTCCACCTTATCAGTTTTATTAATGTGCATCAAGAGCCGTATAATTTGCATGTTTAGTTCAACAAATAGCATCGTACCTGGATAGATATAAGTATAGATTCAACGCGTGATAATCCAGGAGTCCACTGATCTTCAAGAATGTCCAAGCATATTCTTCCATCCTCATAAACTGATCCAAAGTTCAAATTTTCAAGGTATAATAAGCTCAGAGTGATTAATTAAGCTAATTTATAAAAATAATTTGAGTTTCTTATGCAGTGTCTTACTGTTTGGATGGAACATTCGAGAAACAAATCGAACTTTTGGGGCATAGAACGGATAATCTTCTGCGAACCGAAGGGTCAATTTGAACGTACCTGTCACACTCAAAAATATCTCCTTGAATGTAAGTTGCCTAGTCTATAATCAACGATGAATATATAAAGGGAAAATTGTAATTTTGGTCCTATAAGTTGTCATATTTCAATTTTACATGCAATAGTTATGCAAAATTAGTATTTTTAGTCCTATTTCACTCGAACTTTGAATTTTAGCCGTCATTTAATGATATTTCTAACAAACTCGTAGAAATTTATTTATATGGACACGTAAAAATTATAAATGCTCCTCTAATCTGATTTATAGATGAGTCTTACGTAATTAAAGTTCTACAAATAAAGTTAGATGTCGAATTTATAAGTTTCCAAGCGTCCATATAAGTAAAATGCGTCAAGTTTATTTCGGGTCATAAAATTAAAAATCATGCAAAAGAGGACTAAAGATACTATGGCTGTGTTTGGTAAGCTTTTGGGCTTCCATTTCCATTTTATTTTGGGGAAAGATGTTTTGGGAGAAGAATTTGAAAATTAAATAAAGTTTGTTTGTGTTTTGGGAGGAGACAATTTGTACTGTAGCAAGTCAAATCATGTCTGAAAAGGTGTTGGAAAAAGGTATTTTGGAAGAAGAATTTAAAAGATAAAGTGATTTGATTTTGTATTTTAGTGAAGACAATTTTCACTGTAGCGGTCAAATCATTTTTGTTAGAGAGAGAAATATTTGAATTTGTTTTGGGAAAAGTTTTTGAAAATAGTGTAGAAAGATAATTTTCATTTTGGGGAAAGTGTGGAAATAATTTGAAAACGGTAACAAACATAGCCTATATTTGCAAAGTTATTGCATGCAAAACTGAAACATGACAAGTTAGAGGACTAAATTCCTAAATAGGCCAACATAGAGGACCAAAACTACAATTTTTCCAATATATAAAATGTGAGCAAAAACATATTCAAGAATAATGCAAAGAAGGAAACAATCGCTAAATTGAGTGTATGTTCGAGTTACAAGAATGACTCACCTCCACTCCATGGTGTATCCTCAGGGCTACAATCCATACATGAAAATAAACCACAAAAAAACAGCATAAATAAACACACATATTTAAGTGCAACTACAAACTAAGGCATCGTTTGGTTGCCACAATAGAATTAGATTGTAATTTATACTACAGTCCAAGTATATAGTTGGACGAAGACGAGTTCAATGCACAATTCCTAAGAACCTATAAGATAATAACTAATTAGATCAAAATTTATGGTCGGCCCGAAAAGTTATCACCTTTTTTTTTTTAGAAACACGAGATAAAGGTTCAATTATTTAATTAATTATAACATATCTAGTCAACCAAACGACGCTTAAAAAAGTTACTGCTCAATTGATGTGCGATAAATCAAGAAATTACCCGTTTATAACCGCATTCCAGAGCAGAATATTATTTTCTTCTGGTGCCGCACTAATACCTGGAGGTGGATGAGGATCCCGCTGCAAGTCCTTTAAGTTCTTCATCAGTTTTTTCCTAGCAGAAGTTAACATCTTGAATGCCTGTACCTTACAACCTTAACTTTCAAGATTATTAACATATATTAAAACAACCAACTATAAATATATAAAAGGCCAAATTACGGCTACCCCACGGTCAAATTACGAAAACACCCCTCATATTTTGGTAATTACAGTCACCCCTCAACTATGTATTATCTTACGAAAAATACCTTCTAGAGGTAAATTTAGGGATGTTAAATCGGTAAAACCGAACCAAAATTTCGGTACGCCAATATTTCATACCGTTTACTCACTGAATATACGATTTGGTTCAGTAAATAACCGAATTACATAAATTTTATGTAAAAATATTTAAAAGGAGGTAGTGACTGTAATCACCCAAACAATAGTGGTTTTTTCGTAATTTGGCCATAACTAAGGGGCGGCCGTAATTTGTCCAATGTATAAATTACCGGGTAAGAATGACCACAAGCTTAATTCCCAAATAAATACACTAATCAGCTAAACTTACTCATTCGAATTAATGTGAAGAAAATCTGAAGTAGTTATGGACAGATATGAAAAAACCCAACGGCTGAAAGAAAATAAAAGAATTGGTTCATAAAACCATGATTCTGAATCAATAATCATTTCTTGAAAATTCTAATAGCTGCTTCCAATTGGTTAAGAAAATTAAACATTCCAATTGGTTAACAAAATTATGGGAATGAAAGTATAAATACGCAAGTTACCTCTGGTGGTGGCTTTCTCAGTGAGTCTTGTCGGTGATTGTTAGCCGCAAGTGAAGGAGAAGAAAAGAAAAAGTAAAAGAAAAAATATACAAGGGGATTAAGAAAAGTGTTAAATACAAATTGCACCCCAAGATTTAAAAAAACGAAAGAATTTTTTTGAAGTAATTTTGAGTAATATTTTTAAGATGTAGGTTTTGGCCCCTAATCTTGTGTAAATATAAGTTTTGACTCTTCAAAATTTTTTTCTCTATTGTTTTATGTATATTTATATACTTTTTCATATTTATTATTACAATATATAATATTATTGTTAAAGGCATACCATTTTACATAAAATAAATAAAATAATACTTATTTTTACTTTTTTTTTTTTATGAATTACTCTAAAAAAAGGTTCGAGGGCGATGCCCTCGAACCCCCAAAAAATTTAATCTCTCTCCGTTGTATCATTTCATAAAAATTTGGCCGTTCTAATCAAATTTTCTGGTTCTGTCCCTGCTTGTACCATAAAATGCGATAAAATGACCCCTGTCGTCAAGCTAAATATCCGTTCATTGTCAAAGTTGACCAATTATTGCACTAGATATTGGACATCAAACCGTTATCACATGGAACTGCTACTGAATGATGCCATTGGTTTAGCCATGATGAAGAAAAGCAGAAGAGAAGAAAATTTTCTATTTTTTTTAGCCGAGAAGGGAATAAATTGCAGAGAAATGATATGAATGAAAAAAAAAAAAAAGTTGAAACGATTTTAATTAGCTGAGAAATAAGAGAAAGACAAATATAACCTTATTGGAACCAGTTGCCCGTCACGTTTTCGGGCAAAAAGTGGAGAATAGTGTAAAGTGCCAATAAGTTTGCAATTAAAGGGGGCAAAATGCTATTTTTCCAATTTAAGGAATAATTCAAGAGTGCAATGGCTAAATTCGAAAATGCAATGGCTAGAAACCGGACCCGAACCGGACCCGGCCCGGACCCGGTCCGAGCATTCAAAAAATGTTTTTTTTTTTTAAATTATAATGGCTAGAAACTCGGGTCCACCCGGAACCGACCCGGACCCGACCCAGACCTGACCCGAAAATTCAATTTTTTTTTTTTTTTTTAATTTCAACGGCTAGAAACTCGGGTCCACCCGGACCCGAACCGGACCCGACCCGAAAATAATAAAATTAAATTAAAAAAAAATAAAAATTCAAGAACCGATTTTGGACCCGGACCTGACCCGGACCCGGCCCGGACCCGGACCCGCCTCCACGCGGGTCAGTTTCGGGTCCCAAAAAAGTAGGACCCGGACCCGGTGGGTCCGACCCGGACCCGGACCCGACCCGGCCCGTGGCCATGTCTAGTGCAAAGTACCGATTACCCATTTTCAAAGACTACATCACTCCAACCAGTCAGATATGTCAAACAACTACAGCGTGTCTACAAACGACTTTTTCCAATCGTAAATTCCAAAAAAAATCAGAATCATAATTAAAGAAACCTTATCGCTAAGATTTCTACCAAATTATTATTATTATTATTTTTTTTTCGAATAAATTTCTCCCAGTCTACGTTTCTGTATGTGTATGTGTGCGTGAGAGAGAGAAATCGCCGAGGCAATGCGTGAATCGAACGACGAACCGGCGGAGGAGACCTCAAAAGCTCCCCACCGCCGCTGGTGCTGCTGCGGCTTTTTGCGGCGGCGTGTGCGCAAGGACGAAGAAACCCCCGACCGTAATAACGACTCGAGGGAAGTAACCCAAGAGATCAGTTCCCCTGCCGAAAGTGTGAATGCATACGCCATGGAATTGTCCACTCCACCGTCAGATCACTCCGACGAAGATTATGTCCCGCCGGCCATCGATTCCGACGAAAACAAGTCCAATTTGGTCGGACTATCCGACCAAATCAACAGAATCACCGCCATGTTAAAAGATTGGAAGCTATCCCAACTCCTCTTCGTCTCGATCTTCGGCATGACAGGCATTGGTAAGACCACTCTCGCCAAAGAAATCTTCGAACATCCATTAATTTCGGATCGGTTTCACCACCGTGTTTGGGTCGATTTAGGACCGAATTATCGACCGGAAAACGTATTGCACGACATTGTAGCTCAATTAGATGCTGATGTTGACAGAATGCATCATAATGTAATTAAGTATTTATCCAAGTTTATGCGTTCCAATACATGCCTCGTTGTGTTGGATGGTGTTTGGGATACGGAGGTTTTTAATTACTTGCTTAGGTTTTTGAAAGATATGACCAAGAATAGAAGTGCAGTTTTGGTGACAACCACACTAGAACAAGTAGCTGTGTTTTCTCAGAGTTACAGAGTTCATCAGATGCGCCTCCTCAATGAAGAAGATAGTTGGTCTCTTCTTCGCCACAAGGTGTTCGATGAAATGCCTTGCCCACCTGAACTCGTGAAGCCTGGAAAAAGGATTGCGGAGAATTGCGAAGGCCTTCCTCTCACAATCGTCACTGTTGCTGATCTCCTATCGAAACTCGAGAAGAGCCCGGAATGCTGGAAGAAAATAGCGGAACAAGAAGAACATTCGGTGTTTATGGATGCGTACGAAAAAATGTCGGAGGTATTATTTCCAAATTATGACTATTTGCCTCGACATTTGAAAGAACCCTTTCTCTATTCGGGAGTTTTCCCTATGAAAAAATCGATCCCCTACTCCAAGATTGTCAATTTATGGATTTCTGAGGGATTTCTCGAACAAAATCCGTTGAAAACTCCAGAAAATGTTGCTGCAGAGTGTTTGAAGGACCTTATTTCAAGAAGTGTTGTAATGGTTCACCAGCAGAGCACAAGTAATACAATTAAAACGTGTCGCCTACACTCTGTATTTTGGCATCTGTGCATCAAAGAAGCTAGAAAGAACAAGTTTTTCCACGTCGTAAAACGTTATGCTGATATTGTAGCAGAAGATGTAGAAAGCCAACCTCGATTTTGCATCCACAACAACGTTTTGTTTGGCATCAAAGATTTGAATAACTTAATTGCATCCACTTCAAATGTGTCTTCCCTTTTATGTACCGGTCCTTACCATCAATATCCAGTACCGATATGTTTGGATCATTCGAATTTGCTCAGAATACTCGATGCTCTGACAGTCCATTTCTACTTGTTTCCAATTGATGTCCTAAAACTAGTCGAGTTAAGGTACCTTTCACTCACTTATAATGGCAATCTACCTTCTTCCATATCCAAACTTTCGAACCTTGAGTGCTTGATTGTCGGTCGACCTTTGGCTATCACTTCCGTTGAAAACCCACTGTGTCTGCCTGTAGAGATATGGGATATGAAGAAACTGAAGCATCTTCAGTTTACGGGAAGCAATCAGGTACCCGATCCTGGTGAAGGATCGTTCTTACCAAACCTCGTAACACTTTCAGACATAAGCGCTCGCAGTTGTAACACGGGAGTTTTCAGAAGCATCCCTAACCTAAAAAAACTAGGAATTCGAATCGAATTATCGCCCGATGAAGCAACTGATCGAGAACCCTTGAGCTGCTTCCAACATATTTCACATCTCGAGAAACTAGAATCACTTAAATGTGTTGTTGTGAATCCTATATTCAATACTACTGGGATTGCTGTTTGCCCACCACCCCCTCTTTCGGTTTTTCCATCGGGTCTTAAGAAGTTAAGCCTGTGCGGGTTAGGATATCCTTGGGAAGAAATGAGCAAGATTGCTTTATTGCCTAATCTTGAAGTGCTCAAATTGCGAAGCTATGCTTTTCGAGGTCCAAAGTGGGAAGTCGAAGACAACAGATTCTTGAGGCTCGAGTTTATTCTGATTGAAGATAGTGACTTGGTGCGCTGGACAGCTGGAAACGGGAGCTTCCCTTTTCTTGAATGCCTGAACATTAAACACTGCTACAAATTACAAGCCATGCCCCGGAAATTTTCGTTCGATCTTGGAAAGATTCAAGTGGTTGACTGCACTCCTTTGGTCGTGAATTGGGCGAAGAAATTGACGAAGATCGATGTTCGTGTCGATGCTTCGTGGGACGATAAGACCCTCAAGAAATGAATATCAACATGAGAATTTAAATTGTGAACTGGGCAAAGAATTCAGAGAAGTACTCGAGAGCGGTGTTCGTGTCTAATGCTTCGTGGGACGAATGAATATGGCAATTTGCACTTAGCCTTCAAATAAAAAAGGAAGTTCTTATTTGTATATATTAGAGTGGTTTGTGTGTATTTGTGTATTTGTTGTTATCTATACCACTTCCAAAATTAATTGAAGATGGCTCCTTTTGAATTTCATCAAGAATATTCACATCCCTTCGGCGGCGCGTATGTAACTGCAATTTTTTATTCTTTCAAATCATCTCAATATAACCACTTTACAAAATGCGCAGTTAAATTTACATAGCGTGTAATCCAATAATATGTTCATTACAATTCCATAGCACTACGCGTAACATTGCATTTTTTTACGGGACACAATCCAACAATTTGTGCACAAGATAGTAATTAATCTGCCACCTGGCTCTGCTCCACGATTTCCCTGACTCTACGGTTGTATTCTCGTTTGTTCTCACTGAACAATCGAGCAGCTTCAGAGTTTACTGGAGAATCGGGATTCGCATCGCTCAACAGCGACTGCAAATTAAACGAAATAAATTCATGGCTTCTCTAGATATCAGTTGTATGCTACATTGGACAGTTATTCACAATTCTTATTTTTACCCCCATTTGAATTGGACTAAATACGCTAATATGCGGTCGGTACGTACATACAAAAATGCAAAAAATCAATTTTTTTTATATATTTTAGTTGAACAAATAGATTTGTACCTGGACAGATAGAAGTATAGATCCGATGTGTAATAATATAGGACTCCACTGATCTTGAAGAATGTCCAAGCATACTCTTCCATCCTCGTAAACTGATCGGAAGATCATATTTTAAAGTATGAGCTCGGAGTAATTATTTAAGCTATTATACAAAATAAATTTGAGTTTCTACGGTGTCTTACTATTTGGATGGAACATTCGAGAAACAAATCGAACTCCTGGGGGCGTAAATGGAAAGTCTTCTGGGAACCTAACAGTCAATTTGAACGTACCTGTCGCACTCAAACACATGTCCTTGAATGTAAGTTGCCTAGTAAACCATCAACGGTGAATAAATTGTGAGCAAAAACATATTCAAGCATGCAATGTATATTCCGGATCAGCACAAAGAAGAAGGGATTTTTCTTGCTCCTTCATTTTTTTTTCAAAATTTTATTTGGGAAAATTACAGTTTTCATCCCTCAAGTTTTCACCGATTTCACATTTGGTCCCCCATGTTAACAAAAAACACATTTGGTCCCTCATGTTTCAAAAATTTAAACACTTTTGATCATTTCCGTCAATTTACCATTAGTCCGTGAGTTAAGGCAGTGGATGGGCACATGCTTGATTCCGTTAGTGCTAACGGAAAATTGACGGAAATGACTAAAAGTGTTGAATTTTTGAAACATGAGGGACCAAATGTGTTTTTTGTGACAGAGGGACCAAATGTGAAATCATTGCTAAATTCAAAACTGTTTAGGTTCAAGGAATACAATACAAAGAACGAGAAGATCGTTAAATTGAGTGTATGTTCGAGTAAAAGAATGACTCACCTCCACTCCATGGTGTATCCTCGGGGCTACAATCCACACATGAAAAGAAACCACAAAATTTGCTTAACAAAATGAACATATAAAATCCGCAACTACAAACTAAGGCCTCGTTTGGTTGCCACAATAGAATTATTAATGATAACATTGCAATATTAATCTTATTAGAGCCCAATATATAGTTCCATCACGAGGCGCCCAATGGACAATTCCGAACAAGCTAAGGTGAGGACTAATTAGAGCAAAATTTATGGTCGGTCCGAAAAAGTTAATTTTTATGTTCAACTATTTAATTAATCATAACATATCTAATCGACCGAACGAGGTTTAAAAACGGTGTTAAGTCAACAACGTACCCGGATATAACCGCATTCAAGAGCATAATATTACTTTCTTCTGGTGCCGCGCTAATACCTGGAGGTGGGTCCTGCTGAAACTTCTCGATGTTTTTCATCATGTACTTCCTCACAGTAGCTGACATCGTGAAGGCCTATAAACACAATAACTTACAAGTTATACAACCTTAACTTTTCAGAATTATTACAATATATATTAAACAAAACTATAATAGTTTATATATAAATTACCAGACAAGAACGACCACAAGCTTAACTCAGCACCGGAGTTTTAACTTCTCAGTAACTGGAAACCAATCTTCTTATATATAAAATTAATAAACGAGAGGACAACCTAAGAAACCCAAATGGCATCGTTGTAATTATTGGTTTTTAACTTTTTTTCTCTACTATTTTTTTAAAATTACATTATATTGTCTTAAAAGTTCAAAATTCATGTGAAATTCTTTCAACCTCAATCTTCTATTTTTCAGCTATTTATTCTGCAATGAAATCTTTGACTCCATATTTTTCATAGCAGATGGTTATGGGATCCTAATCCACTACTAGGTATCCTGTATCGATACAATTTTTCCTATTACAATAGTTATCGTCATATGTTTAAATAATTTTTTTTTTTTTTTTCAATTTTGAAATGCTATTCCTATCGCACAAGGAGAAATACTAGTTAGTCTGAATATAATTAACATTTAAAAAAATGGATTTTTAGAAAAAGTAAGATTAGGTCATCCGGTATATCCATGTAAATTCCAAGGCCAAGTCTTATTCCCATATTTATACTAATCAGCTAAACTCACTCATTCGAATTACTGTGGAGAAAATCAGAATTAATTACTGACAGATGTTCATAAAACCATGATTCTGAATCATTTCTTGAAATGTGTAATAGCTCCTTCCAATTGCTTAAGAAAATTAAATAACCGATATATATAATATATAGATACATCATTGGAATGAAAGCATATGAACGTATAAATAGATAGTTACGCAAGTTACCTCTGGCCTTGGATGGCCTTCTCAGTGGGTTGATTGTGAGATGCAAGCGAAGGAGAAGAAAATAAGAAAATTAAAAGGGGGAGTTAAGAAAAGTCGGCGATAACTAGAATTCCTAGTAAGACGTAATTTTGAAGTTTCGTTGAAACTCTCTGGCTATACAGTTGTACTCTAAGGCCATCTCTAGTGGAGTAAGTAAATTGGGTCTCTAAATTCTATTTTGGAGACCCGTATGGAGATCAAGTGGAATTTTACTAAGTCTCTAAAAAATAAAATTTTACAATGGATGGCTCTATAATTTTGAGTTCCTAAACAAAGTCCCATAAAATACACATTGTAGATTTATATGCCTATGAAAATCTGTTAACCTAAGTGAGTAAACAAACACAAGAATTTAATGTGGTTCAGACACAAATGTGCCCTACATCCACGTGGACCTGCAAACACGATTTCACTAGTTCAAATTTACAGTGTACATTAATAGGACTTATTAAAATAATTAAGACTCCCTCTTTAATTCTTTATTCCGTTCTTGTACACAACTTGAACTCAGTGTCTCTTCCAACAGCAGCTCCACACCGCGTGCCTCGAACTCCTTTCAGGCCTGAACTCCCTTCAGAAACGCGGTTGATCTCCCTTGAGATCTATACAACAGATCTGTATATATGTTGGCATGAACTCCCTTCAGAAACGTGGTTGATCTCCCTTGAGATCTATACAACAGATCTGTATATATGTTGGCATGAACTCCCTTCAGAAACGTGGTTGATCTCCCTTGAGATCTATACAACAGATCTGTATATATGTTGGCATGAACTCCCTTCAGAAACGTGGTATCTATACAACAGATCTGTATATATGTTGGCACACACAACGTTGACACAGTGCAACGATGGCACAGTCCTGCTCAGCAGAACGCCTTAGCAAACTTCGATGCTATGAAGTGATTTTTCTTCCAAATAATGCACACGGTTCTTGTATGTCTTTGAGGCTTATATAGCCACGAAAATAACCTCTAAGACCTAACTTGAACCCCAAAAAATCTATTTAACTAGGTAATAGAATCCTAGTTGATTTCTACTTCTATTCTTGATAAGTACAAAAGATACCTAATTAGAATAAAATACATGAAAATAAATCTAAGTCCTAATAGAAGTATTATAAGAATATGACTCTAATAAATTACACAATAAACATGGAAAACAAATTTTTGTCAATCTTTTAATTCCAAAAACTAGGCGGATTTCCTCGATCTTCAATAGTCGGAAATCTGGCGCCAACACACATGAGTCTCCAAACAAAGTCCTATTATTAGGAACAAGTTTGGAGATTATGCAAAAATCTGAAAATTTACCAATAGGTGTTGAATTTTCTTCCACAATTTCTATATTTTGAAGCCAAATGGAGTTTGCTTACTCCATTGGAGATGCCCTTAGCATTCTCTCTCTCTCTCTCTCTCTCTCTCTCTCTCTCTCTCTCTCTCTCTCTCTCTCCTTCTTTTTATATTTTATTTTATTTTTATATATAATATCTATTTTTCTGAGAAAATATTTTTATAATATAGAATATAGATCCTTGTGACAAAATTTCTTCTAATTAAACCACAAGCACAACTAAACATTTGTTTCACATTATTTATAAAATTCATTCAACAAATGCCATCAAAACACAAAAAATGAAATATGCACCAAGTAATATCTAAATTGCATAAATCATTTTTTTCCTGTATTTAATATTTTCATTTTTGCATCTAACGTTTTAATTATTATTCCTTTTGACATAGAACACGTTTTATTTTTATTTTTTTCCATTTAAGTAGTATAAAAAAACTATTTTTTTCATTTTTCTCTATATAACAATATTGAAAATTATAATTTTGTTTTGAATATTTTCGGTCGTAGTCATTACAGACACCCGTAGGAAATTATAGTAGGTCGTAGTCACCCACAGTCATCTGTAATCACATATTCTTAAATCATAACTCCTAATTTAAACCCTAGCCACCACCAATTTGTAGACACTTAGTAATTCATAGACACCTGTAGTCATTCGAACTCAGCCGATATGAAACCTTAGATCCGCCACCACCACTCCCACCAATGAAAACAGATCTCCGAAATTTTCCCATAATCCTCTAACCTTTCATCCTCTTCATCTTCGTCTCACTTTCCATCATATTTAGCCTTCCTCTTCTACCAAACATCACATCAAATTCCGATCAAAGACATCGTCGTCGTCGAAAAAAATCACCGCCGCCCCTAGAGCCCAAAACCCACCTCCCACCCCTACATCAAGATCTGATTTAAAAAATTCATCCTATGACTAGTACTTCCAACTTCGATCCAACAAGACACTCAACCCCTAACTTCGAGAAATCAAAGCGGGCGAGGAGAGAGAGAGAGAGAGAGAGAGAGAGAGAGAGAGAGAGAGAGAGAGAGAGAGAGAGAGAGAGAGAGAGAGTTAAATATGAGTTGAAAAAACGTAAATGTATGTAAGTTATAGGCTTTATGGTATAAGGGCAAGATAAGAATAAAAATAAATTAAAGATGTGAGTCATATATTGCTTCAAAATAAGAATTTAATTAAAAAATGAATTTTGAACTTGTCATTTAGTTCAAATTAAGGTTGATTTGAGGGGCTCATAATATTACCCTTTTATTAACTATTAGAAATATTCACTTAATTTGCACCTGAACGGTTAATTTTTCCTATTTTAATTTTATTTTCGTATTATATTTTTACGCTCAACTGTTAAACATAGCTATGTCGCCTAACTCCTCAAAGCAACACCAATGACAAAACATTAAAATGGATCATCAAATATTAATTTGATGCTCGTTTTATTATTTTGATACTTTTTTTTATTTCAACCGCAAGCATTATTTTGGAACGTGCTATTTTCACTCTTAAAATATCTTATTTCACCACCAAATTAAATATATTTTTTATTTTACCCCTTTCTTCTTCTTCCATCTATATTTTTTACAAATTTATAAATCGTCGACCACTAAACTAATTAAAATATTTATAAAAAAAACCCCACCATTTTCACTTGAATTCTTACCGCAAAATATCACCCTCCCCATCTTAAGAGCAACTCCAATAGAAGAATTAAATGGTATACAATTTCTACTTTGATGCTCCAAAACTTAAATTTTCATCTCCAATGGAGAAATTAAATTGGGAGTTATTTTGATATTCAACTTCCGGAGATGCAAAAATGCATCCTGGAAAAAAAGGTATCAAAATATGAATTACCCAAGCAATCTATCATGAATTGACATTTGTCAATTTTAAATATATTTATACTTATATTTAAATTTTGATAATCCATTTAGAGTGATGTTATTTCCACTTCCAAAATATCTCAATTCACCACCAAGGTATATAAAATTTCATAAATACCCTTCAAATTTATAATCAACCACTCTTCCTTATGTTCTCTTAATCCTCACGTGTCTAATTTATTTATATTTTATTTTATTTTTTTAATTTTTAATTTTTAATTTTTGCAACGAAATATCCATTACAAGATATTTAAACTTTCATATCAGATGACTTACGGATTATGTAATTCTTTTTTCAAGAAAAGAAATTAAAAATAAAAAATAAAAAAATAAATAAAATAAAATAACATAGAAATAACTTAGAAGGTTCAGGACCTTCTATACGGACATTACAAAAGTATTATTCACTTATAGACTTTATGTTGCCATTTGTAAAAAAATTACCACAAAGAGAATCATTAATTCTTCAACTAAACTCAATTTGACACTAATAAAGGTTCTTATTGTTCAATTGAAATTAGTTGATTATTTTGCACAAGCATTGACTTTGAACAACTAAAATTGTAATAATAACAGTCATTATATATATATTTTTTCAAATCTATCTTAATATGAAGTTATGTTTATTCAAAAAAATTAAGGCATTCTAGAAATTATGAAGAAGATGGTGGAAACATCTTTAGTATGATTGAATCAAAAGCTTGCATACATACATTCACCAACAACTTGTGCACAAAATAGTAATTAATCAGCCGTCTGGCTTTGCTCCACGATTTCCCTGACTCTACGGTTGTATTCTCATTTATTCTCACTGAACAATCGAGCCGCTTCAGAGTTTACTGGAGAACCGGGATTCGCATCGCTCAACAGTGACTGACCAAAAAAAAAAAAAAAAAAAAAACCGAGTACCTTAGCTAACTGAATTCATTCGAAATATCACTCACTGTATGTTTAGTTACACAAATAGGAAGGGTACCTGGATACATACAAGAATCTGATCGACGAAATATCCTATAAACCAGCGATCTCCAAACAAGTCCGAGCATATACGTCCATCCTCGTAAACTGGTCGGATTATCAAATCTCAAAGTCCAAGTTTAGAATATATACAAGAATACGAGTTTCTTATTATATACAGTTCCGTCTTACTGTTTGGATGGAACATTCGAGAAACAAATCGAACTCTTGGAGGCTTAAATGGATAGTCGTGTGGGAACTCAAGGGTCAATTTGAACGTACCTGTCACACTCGAAACATCTATTACGACCTAAAACAAATTAAAGCATGCAAGAAATCGACAAATATATTACAAGAATGACTAACCTCCACTCCACGGTGTATCATCAGGGCTACATTCGACACAAGAAAATAAACCACAAAAAAAACGGCATCAATAAACAGACATGTATTAATGCAGCTGCAAACTAAGGCCCCGTTTGGTTGCCACAATGGATTTTCCAAAAGATAAAAATTGCAATAATCTCAAGCCTTGTTTGGTTACCAAGATAAAATTAAATAATCTAATAAAATCCAATTATTTTATCGGACTCTGGGGTGTCTAACAAAAAAAACTCCCTGAAATGCAATATAAGGCAAAGATAAGTCAGAATAACATAATATTTACGGGTCGATTCGGCAAGTTATTGAGATACTTGTCGGTTATTATTATTATTATTAATTAAATAATTGGAATTTGCATCAAGACGGGATCTCCAAGATAATTTCAAAGTAATGAAGAATCATCTATCCAACCAAACGAGGCCTAACTAATTTTTTGCTAATTAATTGATATATGTGTGATAAATCAAGAAATTACCCATTTATAACTGCATTCCAGAGCATAATATTATTTTCTTCCGGTGGGTCCCGCTTCAACCTCTCCAAGCTGCTCATCAGCTTCTTAGACATATTTAATTCCCAGCACACTAATTGTAAATTACACTAAACTCCCCCTTTGTTATAACTTTGTTTTCTTGGAGGCAACATGTTTAGTAAATTACACTAAACTCCCAATAAAATAGGTGTAATTAGAGCTTCACCCTTCAGAATTAAGAGCTTACGAAAATCTCCTTTAAGATTTGATTGATGTTAAACATCTACCATAAACTTAATAAGACATTTTTATCCTCACCAAATATTTCCATTTTTTTGTGAAAGTTTTTCCTTTATTAATAATTAATAGTTCTTATTAAATTCTGGATTGCGAAACATAAAACGATTTTTCTTCAATATAAGGGCAATATACTCATTTTAAGCTTTATGTAGATCATTTCCGTTAATTTGTCATTAGTCCGTCAGTTAACAAACTGATGGGCATATACTTGATTCCGTGAATTACGAAAATTGTCGGAAATGACCAAAAATGTTAAATTATAGAAACAAGAACTAAATCTATTTTTTTAAACATTAGGGACCAAAATGTGAAATCGAGGTAAATTTTAGGGACGAAAAATGTAATTATTCCGTTATTTACCCTATATATTGTTATGTTTAGTGTGGGTTCTATTTACAATTTACTTACAATTTACAGATAAAATGAAGGACAAAGTTTACTATGCACTCCTGAATTATGGGATGTGTCGCATACACACCCCTCAATTACGAAACGTACTAAATACCCTCAATATTGTTTGGTCAAACTTACAAAAATATAAAGACATTAGTATTGTAATGTTTTATTGAGCAGTTACAATCTTACCCTTACCTTTAGTCTATGTAAAATTTATGTGAATTTTAGTATTTTGACATATTTCAGTCAAAATTATAAATACAAATTAAAGTCACCATTCTCGTTCATTTTTTTCCAACATAACTCATCTTGCAAACAATACTTGGATGACTATGTAAGCAATTGTTTAACTTATGTTAATATTTTATTAATTTGAGCATTTTTTTTTTAGATTATAATGACAGGTCATTTTTTGTAATTAAAACCTATAAATGAGACCTGTTTACGGAGTTTGAATATATTCGGGGTTTGACTTATATTGAGTGAGATGTTTACCCTTATTTAATATCCTATTTTGAGATACTTGGTTTAATTAAAGAAATTATGTAATCAATTGTGAATGTAGTTTAGTTAGGATTGCGATATAAAATTGAGCTCATGATAACAACTGGAGTTAGACATTATAGTAAAGTTAAAAAAGAAAAAAAAGCAAAAATGAAATAATTTCAAATGAAAAATGAGCAAAAATAAAGATAAAAAAATAAGGCACATATAAGCTTTGAACCCTTATACAATAGGAGTAAAAATGTCACCAAAATAAAAGCAATAAGAAAGTCAATAGGTGAGGTCAACATATTTAAATGAAATACAAACACGAGGGGATATTTGGTACATTTCATAATCGAGGGGTGTGCTTGAGACACATCTCATAATTCAGGGGTGCAAAGTGAAATTTTCCCTAATCTGAATCTTCTCACACTCATGACTCAACCAAGAAACTTCAGTTAAGAGGGAAGCGTAACAAAACAAAACAAAACAAAAAAAAAAAAAAAAAACAAAAAAAAAAACAAAACCGGACACGCGCGTACACACACACACACAAACTAGGTGTCTTTACAAATAAGCCCATCAATTGATACTTATTCATAAAGAAATTCAGACAAAAAACCCTTTTACCAATAAGTCCACACATGGTCCAGATTTTTGTAAAGGACTAAAATAACCCCTCATACTTTAATATGCTCCAATTTCATCCTTAACTTTATTTAACCTCAATTTGACCCCAAATTTCACAAATTATTCAATTTTGACCCAAAAAAAAAATTTGAAAAACTTTTTTTTCCCGCCGGATTCCGGCGTTGACCAATTTACTGTCAGTGACAGCACAATTACGGTCAACGTTTAGCGACGGACGTAAAAAAAAAAAAAAAACTTAAAAAAACACTAAAAAAAATCAACGCCGGAAACCGGCGAAAAAATCCGGAAGAAAAGAAAAGAAAAAAGGGAAGATTTTTTTTTGAAAAGTCAACGCCGGAATCTGGCGGCAAAAAAAAATATTTTGAAAAGAAAAAATTTGGGTCAAAATTGAATAATTTGTGAAATTTGGTGTCATATTGAGATTAAATAATTAAATGATGAAATTGGAGTATATTATAGTATGCTCCAAAAAAAAGTCAAAATTGAAATTTTGTAGTCAAAATTGAATTTTTGGGGAGAAAATTGATTAAATAGGGGTTACTATAAATGATTGAGAATGATATTGAGATATACATGAATGTTTTGTTAATTTATAATAAATATTAAAGGGATGAGTTTATTGGTGAAAGAGATATAACCCCTAAACCTAGAATAATAAATATACTTGGTTGGTGACTTATCCAAAAAAAAAAAAACTCAAAACCTCTGCACAAGTTCTACTCTCTACTCGTTTGTATAATATATTTGTGAGCTCGACGTGCATAATATAAAAACTTGTGTTTTGGATCTCCAAAGTGTTTGAAAAATGCACCACTTGAAAAACACATAGGTTGACATAAGTCCATAACTTCCATTTGAGTCCAGATCTCCCAAATTCCAATTCCCAAATACGCAATCTTGCATTCCAATCCAATTCTCCGGTAAATCCACTGCCGCCACCTGAGAGTCGCCTTGGGTCATGACAGATCACTCCGGCGAAGATCATGCTACGCCGGCGATCAGTTCCGACGAAAACAAGTCAATGCTGGTCGGATTATCGGACCAAGTCAACAAAATAACCGCCACGTTGAAAGATTGGAAGCTATCTCTCCTCTTCGTCTCGATCTTCGGCATGACAGGCATCGGTAAGACCACTCTCGCTAAACAAATCTTCGAACATCCATTAATTACGAATCGGTTTGACCGTCGTGCATGGATCGATTTAGGACCGAATTACCGACCTGAAAACATCATGCACGACATCGTAGCTCAATTAGATCCTGATTTTGACAAAATGCCTGGTTACCTAAGTATGCATCTATTCAAGTTATTGAGTTCGAAGAGATGCCTCGTTGTGTTGGATGGTGTTTGGGACACAAAGGTGTTTGATTACTTGCTTAGGTTGTCTGGGGATAAGATCAAGAATGGAAGTGCAGTTTTGGTAACGACCACTCTTGAACAAGTAGCTGTGTTTCCTCATAGTTACAAAGTTCATCAAATGGGCCTCCTCAATGAAGAAGATAGTTGGTCTCTTCTTCGCCACAAGGTGTTCGATGAAATGCCTTGCCCACCTGAACTCGTGAAGCCTGGAAAAAAGATTGCTGAGAATTGTGAAGGTCTTCCTCTCACAATCGTCACTGTAGCTGATCTTCTATCGAAGCTCGAGAAGAGCCCGGATTGCTGGAAGAAAATAGCGGATGAGGAAGAAAATTCCGTGTTTATGGATGCTTACGATAAAATGTCGGAAGTATTATTCCCGAATTACGACTATTTGCCTCATCATCTGAAAGAACCCTTTCTCTATTTGGGAGTTTTCCCTATGAAAAAATCGATCCCCCACTCCAAGATTGTCAATTTATGGATTTCTGAGGGATTTCTCGAACAAAATCCATTGAGTACTCCAGAAAATGTTGCTGCAGAATGTTTGAAGGACCTTATTTCAAGAAGTGTCGTAATGGTTCCCCAGCAGAGCACAAGTAACAAAGTTAAAACTTGTCGCCTACATTCTGTATTTTGGCATATGTGCATCAAAGAAGCTAGAAAGAACAAGTTTTTCCATGTCGTGAAACGCTATGCGGATATTGTAGCAGAAGATGTAGAAAACCAGACTCGATTTTGCATCCACAACAACATGTTGTTTGGCATCGAAGATTTGAATAACTTAATTGCATCCACTTCAAATGTGTCTTCTCTTTTATGTACCGGTCCTTACCATCAATATCCAGTACCGATATGTTTGGATCATTCGAAGTTGCTCAGAATACTCGACGCTCTTACAGTCCATTTCTACTTATTTCCAATCGATGTCCTAAAACTAGTCGAGTTAAGGTACCTTTCCCTCAGTTATAATCAGAATCTCCCTTCTTCCATATCCAAACTTTTGAACCTTGAGTGCTTGATTGTCAGCCGACCTTTGTCCATCATTTCCGTTGAGAAACCACTGTGTCTGCCTATAGAGATATGGGATATGAAGAAACTGAAGCATGTTCAATTTATGGGAAGCAATCAGCTACCAAATCCTTCTGAAGGATCGTACTTACCAAACCTCTTAACGCTTTCAGACATGAGTGCTCGCAGTTGTACTAAGAGTGTTCTCGAAAGCATCCCTAACCTAAAGAAACTAGGAATTCAAATCGAATTATCGCCCGAAGCAGCCACTAATCAAGAACCCTCGAGCTGCTTCGATCATATTTCACATCTCGAGAAACTAGAATCACTTAAATGTGTTGTTGTGAATCCTAGTTTCAATACTACTAGGATTGCAGTTTGCCCACCACCCCCTCTTTCGGTTTTTCCATCGGGTCTTAAGAAGTTAAGCCTGAGCGGGTTAGGATATCCGTGGGAAGAAATGAGCAAGATTGCTTTATTGCCTAATCTTGAAGTGCTCAAATTGCGAAGCTGTGCTTTTCGAGGACCAAAGTGGGATGTGGAAGATAATAGATTCTTGAGACTCGAGTTTATTCTGATTGAAGATAGTGACTTGGTGCACTGGACGGCTGGAAACAGGAGCTTCCCTTATCTTGATTGCTTGAGCATTAAACACTGCTACAAATTACAAGTCGTGCCCCGGCAATTTTCTTTCGATCTTGGAAAGATTCAAGTGGTTGACTGTACTCCTTTGGTCGTGAATTGGGCAAAGAAATTGACGAAGATTGATGTTCGTGTCCATTCTTCGTGGGATGATAAGACCCTCAAGAAATGACTATCAACAAGATTCCCAAAGTAAGTCATCAATTATATTTCGCAGTCATCACCACTAAAATTCTCAGTTCCTTTTTTTTTTTCGTTTTTTCCGAATATTGTTCATGTAATGCAACTCAAGTTAACTCTGGTTGAAGAGAGCGAATTGGTGCACTAGATCCCCGGGAAAGAAGAGCTTCCGATTTCTTGATTGCCCGAGCATTAAACACTGCCACAAATTGCAAGAGATGCCCCAAAAGTTCACTTTCTGTCTTGGCAAAGTTTAAGTGGTTAAATTCAATCCTTTGATTGTCAATTGAGCAAATAATTTCGACAATTACTCGAGTGGTGTTCGTGTCTAATGCTTCGTGGGATGAACGAATATGGAAATTTGCACTTAACCTTCAAGCATAGTGGCTGTGTGTGTTTGTGTATGTGTTGTTTCTCTATACCACTTCCAAACTTAATTGAAGTTGGCTCTTTCTGTATTTCCTCAAGATTATTAATGTTTGACATATATTTGTAATCTACTACAAGAACAATTGTTACATTAAACTGCTAATTCTTTTTTTTTTCTTTTTTTTTTTTGGTTTCTTTTAAGGGATTCAAAATATGAGTTTTGATGAATGATGACTATACACTTCATTCTACCACATTCAAAACCTCACTTAAATATAGCAATCAAATTAGAAATTACATATCTTCGCGTTGACGCCAAAAACCTTGTTTTTATGTCCAACAATTTCTCGGTTACAATTCCATAGCATGTCTGGTACAAGATAAAAAAAAATCCAACAGTCTTGAACAATATAATTGCGGCGCAAAAATACATTTTCAATCGGGACTTGAAATAAAACGCACCACAAGAACAAATCGGCAAAAAGAGTAATCAGACTAGATAGTTTATTGGGCCATCCGGCTTTGCTCGGCAATCTCCCTGACTCTGCGATTGTATTCTCTCCGATTGTCAACGAACATTCTAGCAGCGTCAGAGTTAACTGGAGTATCGGGATTCGCATCGCTCAACAGCGACTGCAAATAAAACGAAATAAATTCATCAGCAAATATGTTCACTATTCTCATTTTCTACACCATCTGTGCTTCAAATTCGCAAACGGGATTTAATTCCTTTTTAAGTTTTTATCATCTTTTAATTGAGAATCCACGCAGTACCTGGATTGATATAAGTATAGTTTCAACGAGTAATGCAGGAGTCCACTCGTCTTCAAGAAAGTCCACGCACACTCTTCCATCCTCATAAACTGATCGGAATATCAAGTTTCAAAGCTAAGTTCGTAATAATTAAACTAATTAAGCTAATTGTATATGCAAGAAATTTGATCTTACTGTTCGGATGGAACATTTGAGAAACAAATCGAACTCTTGGGGGCTTCATCGGATAGTCGTGTGGGAAGTCAAGGGTCAATTTGAACTTACCTGTCACACTCACACTCGAAGCATGAACAATGACTATATTGTGAACTAAAACAATTTATAATTCAAGAACAACTGACCTCCACTCCACGGTGTATCCTCGGGGCTACATTCGACACAAGAAAATAGACCACAAAAAAAACAGGCATTAATACATAGATATATGTAAATGCAACTACAGACTAAGGCCTCGTTTGGTTGCCTCAATGGGATTTTCTAGAATAAAAATAAGGGGCAATTTGCTGAACACTCCTGGGCGCTAATACTCTTTAAGATCGGAATATTCATATTTTTGCATTTTGCTATAAGTCCGTCGGGCAGCTTAGTTGGAGAGTTTAGACTGAAAAATAGTCATTTTAGACCGGAAAAACCTTATTCGCCTCTAACTCATCATTCGTCCTCAGAACAACACCCACTCCCAAAAATGGCATTTTTGTCCATCCCTACTAGTCCTCTGCCGCCGATCGTCTAATTTCCGCCAACCACGTCATTGGAAACATGTTATTTTCATTGATTTTCGGTTTAAATTCTCCCACTAATTTGTCCACTCTCAGTCTAGACTGTCAATTTTCATTCTAAACTTTTCAACTAAGCTGTTTATTTGCAGTCTAAGCTTTCTACTTTCCCTATAAGCTGTCCAAGCAAGCTGTCTATTTTCAGTCTAAACTGTGTATTTTCAGTCTAAGTTGTCCAACTAAACTGCCCAATTGACTTATAGCAAATACAAAATATCCGTTCGGCCTGTTCGTAATACAAAATATTTTTTAGGGACTTTAAAGTTTTAACCTGAAAAAGTTATTGGTGGTGGAAATTAAACTAGATTCACTTAATCAAGATAAGTTCAAAACTTCAAAGTAATGAATCCAACCAAACCAAACGAGGCCTAAATTAAATAATTCTTGCTAATTACTAAATGATGTTAGCTAGCTAAATAAATAAATGAAGAAAAGTACCCATTTATAACTGCATTCCAGAGCATAATATTATCTTCTTCAGGTGCTGCAGTAATACCTACAGGTGGGTCCCGCTTCAAACTCCGCAAGTTCCTTATCAGCTTCCCAGACATACTTATTGAATTCCCAGACCTTAACTTTTGAGGATTATTGACTTGTAATGAAAAACAAGGTCATTTTTTATCAAATTAATTAAATGCAAACGATCAATTAAATGAAAGAACGTACATTACTGCATAAGTTAGTATACCTCTGATCCGATTTCGATCTAGTTTTTTTTGTGCAGAGCTCTACTACAGGAAAAGAAAAAGTCAATGGCCGGATTATAAATTACACCAAACCCCCCCTTGCTATGTAACTTTGTTTTTCTTGGAGGCAAAATGTCTACTAAATTACACTAAACTCCCCATAAAATAGGTGTAATTAGAGATGTACCCTTCAGCTTTACAATATTGCACAAATCTCTTGTGATGTTAATCTTTGATTGAGGTTAAACATCCTACCGTAAACTTAATACAATATTTTTCCGTAGCGGGGAAATTTGGTCTTTAAGGACAGAGACAACGTAACTGGCCTCGCCAAATTCATTCAAAGCAGATTTTCGACTAATAAATACAAGATTAAAATTAGGACCAACGTAGACCATAGTGGTCATATTGAACTAGAAGGACGTACGATGATGCAGTAGAAAGAGGAAGTTCGGTTTTGGAGATTAAAGTATTAAGAACTTCGTAATGACAGAGAAACTAGAAAAACGGAAGTTTGATTGATGCCTACATGGCATGAGTGGAATTTAAAGGAAAAACATAAGGGCAATATAGTCATTTCAAGCTTTATGTTAGTAAAATGGACAACCTTTACTCGGGTTATGTGCTTACATTAAATTGACATGGGGTTCATCTGCAAAATACACGCCATATGTTTGTGTATCCTATATATTATTATGTATAGAGAAGCTTATACTTACAATTTACAAATAAAAAAAGAAGAAAATTAATCTTCTCACACTCAACAAAGAAACTCTAGTTAAGAGGGAAGTCGAAAAAAAGAAAGTAAAAAAAAAAAAAACTAAAATTATGCACAATTTCTACTTTTAACTTGTGACTAAGCTTGCATAATATATTTGTGAGCTCAATCAACTTGGTAGCTACACTTGTATGTGTGTGTATATATATATATATATATATATATATATATATATATATATATATATATATATATATATATATATATAGCTAACAAGGTCTTCCCTTGATACATTTTAGAGGTCCCGCAAATTTGGTGAGGGAGGGCACGTATCCTCCGGGTTTAGGAGCGATGGTACCGTAGCCCAGTGCAAACTTGTGTTTCGGATCTCCGGATTGTTTGAAAAATGCACCATTCTTCATTACATCTCCCTCCGATTTCCATACCCAATTCTTCCACACGCTCTCCGGTGCGTAGTCTCTCTTCGTCACCTACATTTTCCGTGAAAAATAAAAAAAGAATAATCTCCGGTCGTCTCTTTCGTAAGTCGGTTAAAACAATTGCTATGGATCGGACCCCAATATTTTTTTTATACGGGTAATTAACCATTTTAGTATCATTGAATATAATTTTTTTTTTCAAAAATATAAAGGTAACTAATTATATGTGCCACGGTGCCAATATTCAAATTCTACAATCTATAATTAATTTTAAACAATCTCCATATAAACACCTTATAAGTGTATTTTTCTAAAAGAAATCCAAATAGCGATGTATCTGCGACATGTATATGAGTGTGTTTTTGTAAGTAAAATTGAAAATTTGGATACGGAAAATCGAAGACTTTGATGCTATCGATATTAAAAAAAAAAAAAAAAAAAAAAAAAAACCCGAAAAGAAGTACCTCTTTGGCGAAACGATCTTGAGGAGCAACAAAATTGTTGCCCTGGCTGAGTATGGTGGGGTGTTGGCTACCTCCAATGGCGTACATTTCCCAACGAGTGTAGTCATTGTTAACTATGTGGACGAAACCCCATCGAACCCTAGGCATTCTTTGAATTAATCCCTTCCCAAAGTGGTTGAATGCTACTGTTATTTGCATCACTTGGTCGCCCGAATAGCTGTCGCTTGCTCCGAACAACATCACCTGCATTTTTCCATCTAGAGGGTGAAAATTGGACTGATCAGATCGTAATTGCTCTTTTTGGAAAGGAATCGGAATTTCAAATCACAGAATAATTTATTTGTCTTTATAAAACTGAATTTTGTTTTTAGATCAGAATCGATGAAATTCAAATAAGTTTAATCTAGTTTCACCCTTACTTCGGGCGAAAGTTAAATAAATATATATATATGCAATCTAAAATTGTATTGAAGTTTCGTGTGGATGAGAATTACGTCATTGTGGTGCGTAAAATGGGAATTGGAGATGGTGATTGCCGTGGAACCTTCAATTGCATCAATGAGGCCATCGACACATTTAGACAAAGAAACGTGATCAATCCAAACATTCGTAGCTCCAAACATAGAGATTGCATCGCCGTCGCTTCTACTACGGTAACCATAGTGGTTAACCGAATCCCTAATTAGCCCCCCGTTGCCCGCCTTAATGTCGTGTATTCGGATATTATGTATGACTACATTGCTTACGTATTGTATGGTTAAGCCCGCACCGTTCGCTATATGGATCTGCGCCCCCCGCCCGTCAATCGTCTTATTGCTCGTCATTATAAGCTCCTGCGATAGCCTAATGACCATGCTGCGCGCGAATATGATCCAGAGCGGCTCTTTCTGAATCACACCGTATCTTAGGGTTCCTTTTTTAGGATTGACCAAATCGTCGTCTGCAGAGTTGGTCACCACGTAGGTCCTACCGGCCTTGCCTCCGGTGACGTGGCGACCGAACCCTAGGGCACAATCCACGAGCTTCCGGCGATTTCTTTCCCAATTTCTTTGGCACCTCCAACATTGGTCGATAGGGTTCGTGGCTTGGCATTTACTACCACCACGCCTAGCAAGGCCTCTTCTTGTACTATTGCTACCTTCCGTCGACCTTCATATGTATCATCAAATTGTAACATTGTTAGTCGAAAAACCACGATCATGCTCGAAATAATCGAGGGAATTATTTAAAAAAAAAACAAGAATATACTCTCCCCTCCGTCCCATACTAAATGTTGTTTAAAGGTTTTACACAATACATATTAAAAAAAAAATATTGAATATGGTTGAATTTTTAGGAAAGAGACATAAATTTAAAAAAAAAAAAAAAACCAAAATATCATTTTACTATTTAATGACGTGATAAGAAAGTGTCAATTGCCTTAATACAATTGAATTTAATAAAAAAAAAATAGGGAGGGAAAAATGCCTTTTAATAATGGCATTATTTGAAAACTAAAACGACAAATAAATTGAAAATTAAAAAAAAA